CCCCCCCCCCAGTGACTTGCCGGATTACATCCTGTTGGGTTCCATTTTCCTTGGTTCCTCGTCTGGGCATCTTCGGAATAGTTTTCTCGTTTGATTCCAATTTGAGTACTGTACGTCAACCAATTTGCATTTGAGTGACGCGTAGCCGGATCGATACGAATCCCGAAATAAAACACGATTGATCCGTAATGTTCTACTGAATTAGTGAAATCATTACAAAATGTACAATAAAGCAAACCTCAAATATGCGACCAAAAGCACTTAAGCAAGCGGCCCAAATAAGATGTCCGGAGAGAGCCAAACAGTTGCTCACGTTCTCTGATCACGCAAAATTCAAATGTGCCGGGCATCGAATTAAGAGATAAATAATGATGTGTGGTGTTTGTGATTGATGAATGTCAATAGAGAACCAACACACAGATAGAGTTATGTCACCGTGAATCCTCATGGGTTTGGAAGGATTTTTAAAAATCAACATGAAATACAGAGACCCCTGTTGATCGCATCTCAATTAACGACTCCAGAGTAGTGTATTCGGAGGAATAGAGGAGGCCCGGACTAGACCGAATAGGACCCGATATAATGCTTACTAATATCAGGGACCTTTTGATGCAGAGGGTTGAGTTGGAAACTTGGTTTCAGAATCATAATCCAACTGTGGTGGCGCTCACTGAAACCCGGTTGAACGCTAACCTTATGGACTCGTTCTCCCGGGGTATACCATGTTTCGAGGCGATAGATTCCCTGGACGGATTGGTGGAGTTGTAGCACTGTTCTTCCGATCTGACGCCTCTGTAGTCAAACTGAAAACATGCGAACCGACACAGTTTCAGAGAAGCGGTCTGGTGTCGTGCCAAGCTAACATCAGGCGGATAAGTGAACACAGAGCTATTATATCGAACCCCAGCGGCAGCCGTCCTCAAACTCCTGACTACCCTGCGTAGATGGGTAGGTGACAGTCGGTGCCTTAGTCTCGGGGACTTCAACGCTCCCATGAGAGCCGCACTCCGTTTCCCCACGATAACGGTGTAACAGTTACTTCAATTTCGATTGATATAATTACACAGCACATTCTTCCATCCTCCACACCAACGTTTGTGACCTCGTCCGCTTTGTGTTCCGTTTACACAGCGTTTTCGTTCTGCTTCCCTACCATCTTCAGTATGTACGTCTTCCAAGTATTTTATCTATCTACCTGTACTGACGTTGTACATATGATTATTTTGAACACATGATCATGCCTTGTGCATGCCTCACGGGTTTCGTGAAATATACATTATTATTATTATTATTATTATTATTATTATCGTGGACTGGGTAGCAAGCCTGACCAAACCCGGTGCGGATTACTTCTCTCGATTCTAGACCTCATCATACTGTCGAGGAGTTCCGATGCACAACAGACCGAGCACGACCCTCCTTTAGGGTGCAGTGACCATATGGTATTGGGGTTACATAGTGCTCGAAATGTATGGCGTGCAAAGTGCTACGCGGAACGGGCGGCCACCATGACTGTGCCGTGGCTCCCACCGACCCCTCACGATGTGAATGACGCAGAGGTGTTATGGAAACGCTTTCGGGACGGTATCCTACACCTTACTGACATGTTCGCCCAGGAACTCGCAACAGACAGCGAACACTGGGGCCACCATGGTTTGAACTACGACGATTAATCCGGCGCCGGAATAGCGCTTGGCGAGCTTTTGGTGCCACCGGTGTGGTTATGACCTTTATCGGAGGATTTGGAACGAGTGCACGGAGTTGAAACGATCCAAGCGGAGGACCTTCGAGAAGAAGCTGACAGCTCACTCAGTGAAGGCTCCCAAACGCCTATTTGTTTACCTGAGGCGGCGCAAGAGAGCTGATACCCCCGAGTTGATCGATGGAGTCGACACGGTTGACACCTACAAAAGCAAAGCAGAAGCATTGGCCACGCAGCACCGCTCGGTGTACACGATAGATGCTGGCTCGCCACCAACATCAGTCAGAAATACATCGATGTTCACCTTCGAAGAGTTTTCAGAAGTGGAGGTAACAAGATTGCTTCAGTTGATCAAGGCGAGTCAGTCCCCAGGCCCGGATGGTGTTCGTCCACTCCTGCTCAAGGAAATGGCGGTCCAGCTCTCCGCCTCAAATACGTGGCTTTTCAACCTGTCAATGCTCTCGGAAAGACTGTCCCCAGAGTGGAAGAAAGCGGTTTTGGTTCCGATTTACAAGGGAGGAACGAAAACTGCACCAGGCAGCTACAGCCCTGTGAGCATCACATCGGTTGTGGACAAGACGAATGAACGATTGGTGATTTCACGACTTACGGATTTCTTTGACCGACATCAGGGGATGTGTAAGGAACAACGCGGATTCCGCCAGAGGCGTTCCTGCATGAGCTATTTTCTGCTCAGGAACGTTGGTCTAGAGGCAAGGACGAGGGACATAGTACGGATGTTATCATCGTTGACTTCCACAAGGCGTTCGACAAAGTATCTCACCACAGGTTGCTCACTACACTCAGGGCTCTGGGTGTCGAAGGGTCTACACTTCACTGACTGGAGGATTTCCTGAAAAGGAGAACCTCCTCAAAGTTTCACAGGGGCGATCTGTGTGGTACACAGTCACCATTGGTGTCCAACAAGGCTCCGTTCTTGGCCCACTGATGTTTCTGATCATTGCGAAACACATACCATCAGCTTTGAGTAGCTCGTGCCTAATCTCTGCGGACGACCTCAAGCTTTGGCAAATAATCCGGACAGAGGCAAGCCAGTTGTCTCTACAGGATGACCTGAATGCTCTGATGAACTGGTTGAGGGTATGGGGGTTACTGGTGAATATCTCCAAGTGCGCTCACATGAGGATAGTAAGACACGGTCTCACCATCAGCTACCTTCTTGGAAGTACCGTGCTCCGGGAGTCAACTGAGGAACGAGATTTGGGTTTTGTCGTCACCAGCAACCTGAAACCTCGTTCGCAGATAGACAAAATTTGTGCCTCTGCGTGGATTATGTTGGGTGATATCCGCCGTTCGTTTGGTCCGTTACCCATGGCGGCCCTCAAATTTCTGTCTTCCACGTACGCCCCCGATTGGAATGTGGTGGTCCGGCAGTCTTTCCTTGTACGGCTTCTGAGGTTGCCCAACTGGAGAGAGTTTAAATGGCTGCTACACCCCTCTTTGAAGCAGTACGTTGGATCAGCTGCAACGGCCGACTGAGTGCAACGGGATTGTTCCCCATATCATACAGACGACTGAGAGGTGACCTGATGTACTCCAGACGCATCATCTGGGACGACTTTAGCCCAGGATTGCAGTTGGAATTCCCCCTGAGGAACAACAATCTCATCAGGGGACACGCACTGACGCCCCGCAAGATTCAGTTAATCGGTCTGTCGCTGATCTATCTTCTATCGAAGAGGGTGACAGATCCCCAAAATGCGCTTCTTGAGTACGTGGTGGAAGAGACAAACGATAGCATCTTCAAGCTAAAACTTGACAGAGCTATGCAGGAGCACTGGTTTTGTATCAAGATCTGATCAGCCCAATGGGACACAATGAGATGGGGCTAACATGGGACATCCCACTGCCCTTAACAAATTAAGATTGAAGAATAACTATTGAGCCGAATTGTGTCCGGTTTATTGCACTGTGAGTTCCAATGTTTCACTGTACTACGACAGCTTGGTATTTCCGCTGCATGTGTTTGTCTTGAAGTGTAAGGGGAGAAGGAATGACAGCAGAGTAAACGTGAATATTACAGATAGAATCAAGGAAGTCCTACGGAGGATTCTGAGTACAGTGTTCCCATATCATTAATCCGATTCATGATCGGCAGATATAAGAGACCATGCCTCATCCAGCTGGTACTTAAAGGCCCCAAGGCTACGAGCAGCAACCACTTTCTCTAGTTATCGGAGGTTATTAGAAAATAGATAGCATGGAACAACTTCTGTCAACTGTAGGCACCCCACAAAATCTCTGGATAGAGACTGATCCAGACCTTATCCAGTTGCCTTTTGAACTCATCGACTGTCCTACAGTCCAGTAGTGCGGATGGTAGTTGGTTCCACTCATCAATCACTCTAAGTGTGAAGAAGTTGCACCTAAGAATGAGTCGGCTATTGAGCTTCACAAGTTCCAGATGTTGCCCCCTTGTTGATTCGAGCTGTGTTCAGGAAAACAGGCTGTCCGACTCTATTCCTGTTAGCTTCCTCGTCATTTTCAATGTCTCGAATAGGTCGCCTGTTGGTCGTCCTCTCAATGAAAAGAAGCTCTGGAGTTTCCAACCTTTCCTTATATGATTTACTCCTCATTCCCGTGATCATCCTAGTGACTAACCATTGTACCCTCTGAAGGCAATTAATATCTTTCCTCATTTATGGCGCCTAAGCTTGCACGCAGTATTCCAACCGCGGTCTAACAATGGCCTTATATAGAAGCACGAAAACCCCTGCCTTCCTTGACGATAGGGTCACCTTAAGCTGGATCATTTACCCCCTCGCTTTTTACGGCAGCCAGACATTGCCCACTTGGCTTGAAGTCCTCGTGAACTGAAATTTCCAGATCCAGCATTCGGTCTACGTGAGTGAAGACCGTCGGTTCCATGGACGTAGCAACTGAAACCGGAAACCCTACGGTGTTTAAAACGTGACGCTGGGTAGCATTTGGCTTTAAGTTCCACTTCTGTGTCCACCGAAAAGCCTTTGCCAGATCAGCTTCTGGTTGATCTACCGGTCCTGAGTTGACTAGGTTTACGTCATCTGCAAATACAAAGACAGGAACCGCTAGGTCATGGACGAAGTCATTTATAAACAGTAGAAAGAGCATCAGGCCTAGCACTGAGCCCTGAGGCACTCCGCTGGATACTCCGCCAATGTTGGACACAGATTCTCTCATCCCAACTCTTTGGTTCGGATGGTGAGGAAGCCTCTATTGATCTAAGTAGAGCTGCTGGGAGGCCAAAACCCTTGAGCTTTTGTAGTAGGCGCCAGTGATTTACCGAGTCCAAATCTATCCTGAAGTCTAGGTAGCGCACCTCGACTTTCTTATCTCCATCTACCCTCCACGTTACTTCATCTGAGACACAAATAAAGTTGCTGAAACACAACCTTTTTTGAGAAAGCCGTGTTGGATGGGGTTAATCAGCCTATGGTGAGTGACGTGTTCACAGAGAGCATTCCTAACTATGTTTTCTAAACCCCTACGCAGCACGCTCATCAAACTTACCGGTCTATAATTAGCAGTTTGCTTCCTATCCCCACTCATGTGGATTGCTTCCACTGTGGCAGTCATCCAAGCTCTGGGAGCTCTCCTTGGCCACTCCTGGTAGAATGCGGTTGCTGCAGGGCTAAACACAGAAGCTAAGGACCTAATGACGGTGGATGCAGCCCGTCCCTGCCAGCAGACTTGTTTACATTCAAGCTTTCCAGGACCTCAAGAACACCACTAGCTGAGACCTGCACATCGCTCATTGGAGGAATGTGAAGACACTCTCGTTGCACCGTACGCCAGTCGTCCACTTTGTAGGGGTTTTGAAAGTACCTCCTGAGCGTCTCACACTTCTCGGAATATGAGACAGACAGCCCTCCTCCGGGATTCTCAAATGTGCCTACCGACTGTATTAGTGTTGCCTTCGATTACACGTAACTATCGTACCTCTTGGGTTCCAGGCGCGCTGTCTTAGCAATTTTAACTTCAAAGGTCCTTCTCTCCTGTTTAACTGGCTTTTTGGCATCAGGTCAGGTCAGGTCAGGTCACAGGACTGGCGGCTGGTGCCAACGAGAGTCCAGTTTCTTGCGCAATCGAGCTCCAATGTTCTCGAGGCGCTTTGATATTATGGCTTCACGCGATCCTATATAGCAGCTATCGATCCTGCCCTCCTTCGAGTACGAACGCATTCCACCTTGAATCCCTTCCCCCTGTGGCGCGTTTAATGGCAGGCTTCTACCATGGCGGTTTGCGTGTATCGCCCTAAAGCTGCGAGGGGGTATGCCTCTCCATCAGCTCTAATAGCTTGTCGAGGATTATCCGCCCACCGTTGATCAACGGACGAATCCAGTCCCTGCTGGAACCATGCTCTGGCTTGGAAATCTCGCCACAAGCTCTCGACATTAATTTACCCAGAATTTCGGCACCGCCTGCGGGGTGACTTTTTGTTTACAATGCATGTTTATACCATCAGTACGTCATGATCACTTTTACCGAGAGGAGCCTCTTGGCTAAGTTAGCCGATCTCACTCTCCTGCCGTGTGAGGACCAGATCTAAGATAGACGGTCTCTGCCCTAGCCCGATGCGCTTTGGCCCTTACACGTACTGATAGAGCGACGCCTCGTGGAAGCAGTTCATGAAATAATGTGCGGGTCAGTTCAGTTTGGGTAAGACATGAAATGGCCACGACCAATCGAGCGTCCAAGGTTCTGTCGGTAGAATTCGCAGGTCCGGCACCCACCACTGTATGGAGTAATCCATCAGTCGTCCTGTTAAAAAAGAAAGGGAAAGGACAACTTATCTCATCTGCTCGGCGAGAGACGTTAAGGTACGTGAGCGTTAAAAAGGTGCCCTAATGGGAGAGCTAAATCACCGCTCAACGCAGAAGCTACTTCGTGCCATCTTCGATCTAGGGCTAGTTTACAGGTTTCAACCGAAGTTAGTTCTATCAGCTCTTCTGGCAGTCGGTTTCATAGGTC